TTCCTTCAACTCTCGCAGAAGATAGCTTCTTGAAAATATCTTGACTGAATCGATTACAGGAATATCGAGCTATGACCTTCGTTTCGTGCTCTCGAGGGATAAGTCGATCGATTACCATTTCAATGACATTGACCCGATTTTCTAAGAATATTTGAAAAATTCTAAAAGCAACGTCATCTTCGGACGACCCATGTCTACCTCTTCCTCTCCTCATGTCGAGAATTTAATCAGATTCGGCGAGTTTTCGTCAATATTCCTTCGACAGGAAACTTCTTTACGATACATGCGAATATATTCAGAAACACGGGATAATATATTCTCCCCAGGCATTTCTTTATGTTAATCCACCCCGTTGCGGTCGCGGTCGCCAAGCCAAAGTTTAAGGAGTTGGTGCGAGCAAATGCGGTTAACGCAAATGTGTGCGGAAGCATATTTGGTTTGCATACATTTCAAGCTAACTGTCGCGATATCGCGAGAGGAGATATCAAAAGCTATTTACAAGTTATTACTCTCCAGTAATACAACCTATTTTAATCGTAATATCTCATTTCAATTAATATAATTGCTCATAAACACAATTGCTTATATTAATTTATAATAATTATTATTAAAATTATTCATTATATACTTACATAATTAAACATATATAATAAATTAATGTATATAATTTATAATAATTATCATTAATTATACATGTATAAAAAAATATCGACAGCATCCCATGATTCAAAATGCATCGGCAAATATTCGTCATCGTTGAAGATTTTGGCTATTAGCGCGTCCGGAAGATTAACTGCTAACTCAATCTGCAGGACGACGCTGAAGAAATTAATTGCCGGTGGGATGTCGATCTTGATGGTGACCAGCATCGACGTCCTCGCGACGAACGAACGAACGAACGAACGAGCTTCCTCGATCCCGAGAGATCGAACGATCAGCGCGCGCGTGACGTGCGCGTTAATTAATTTCCGGCCTAATAAACTTCCCGACAGCCGAAGCCGCAGATTCGTCGCAGATGCGCAATTTTCGGCAGCAATATGCGATTCCGTGAAGGATATCGAGGGGATGCGAAAGGAAAATACGGGGGCGAGTGCGATTCAATCTCGCGATTTTCATCAGAAATGCGCGTCTCCGTCGCTTTTCATCGGTTATCAATGCAGAGTTATCTGCGCGCGCTACAAAATGCCACAAAATAGCGGAACGTCATGTGAAATATGACTGATAATGGAAAATCATGATTTGTGCAGCAATTTAAAATCTTAGAGATTAAAGGATTCTAGTGGATTGAAACACAAGATACTTTTGAATATCATAAAATTTTTATCTGAAGTAGGGCAATAATGCTTTTTCATTAAAAATACTTTTTTTTAAATAATAACATTTATTCGCATTTATTCTCTCTCTCTCTCTCATTTTTCTTAGCGTATATTTACGATTATGCTTGTGGTGTCGACACTTTCGTTTCTTAGCGACTGACTATAGTATGTAATTTGTATAATATATATATATATATGTGCTGTTTTCACCTTCTCCACCATTATGATATATGAGACGTTACGTGAATAACAAAGATACTGCTCTGCTTTAATCTTCATTCACATATATGAAACAAAGTAAATATCTCGAAAGTCGCACGTACCAGAATAAAAACGTATTATGCCTGTTTTACCAAAGACGTATTTCATTCTCTATGCTTGTACTTGTTGCGAATATATTTGAGATGTTGTTTTGAATGCTTTTCAAGCATTTAAAAAATATATTACTATTTAAAAAATCTTAATCTCTAAAGATTAATGTAAATCTGACTGAGCGCGAATAGTTTAACATGAATCGAGTTCTTAAACTTCTGTTTCATCAAAATAATCGACAATATGAGAGAGAGCAAATATACAGTATCGAAATTACATACGCGCACACACGTGCACAAAAAGAGAGCAACTAATTAATTTATTTATTAAACGCTGCAGCGTCGCCAATTGAATTGCGCGACAGTTTTAGTATTAATTGACTAACGCACAGTTCATCGATTTATGATTGCAATTTCGCGGAGAACGCATCTCGTTGATATATATCGAATATTCCGTTAATTAATTCTATGTTAATCCAAAATGACCGACTTTATGCTGCCAACTATTGAAAACACAACGCAAATAATGTCAAAGATTAAAAATAATTTTAATAAAAATATAAATTAATAAAAATATAATAAAAATATAAAATTATCGATTTCAGCATTCAATCGCGCAATTTCCCCAAAATAGAATGAGACTATCATTGATGTACTAATTACCGGTATAATAATTATTAGAATGCAATAAATTCTCGAACAATATTATCATTGTAAGACGAAAATTCCATTAAAATTACATAAATTATCATTAGTTTAATTATATATATTGGATAGTATTATAATTATTTATTATTCTAGTTATTATAAATCATGTTATAACAACAAAGCATTTGAATTAATCTCAGTAAAGATTTAATCATAGTGATATTTTGATTGTGATACATAAAGAATCTTAAAATCTCTGGATGTTGTTTTAATGGTATATTTTTTCTAGCCAATTTGAATTTTTTTCTTAGCAAAAATGTCGAAGAATGTCATTTTTTACAAGTTTTCAATTTTTCTATCATGTATCTTTGCAATTAAATCTCACATTAAATTTCTATTAAAATATAAAAACTTTATCTGAAATTAATTACAAAATATAATTTTATTAATCTTTTAAAATTCCATAAAAAAGTTCCACGCAATATGCACAAATATTCTTTTTTTTTAATCATTATTTCGGAAATCTTAACATTTTTATTGAGAAAAAATCGTCCCCAAATTAATCTAATTTATCTATTATTAAGACTTTTGATTCTCTTGAATCGCTCTATATATTAAATAATGATTATTATCATTGCGTACATTGATCGCAACATCATTGCAGAAAAATGCTGATCAATAGATCCATGTAAAAAAAAATTATAATCTTGAGATCGAGATCAGATACATATTTACAACCGCGCGAATACTTTTGCGAATTTACATACGATACGTTTCACAAATTACGCAATTCCTTTCGCGTAATTTCGCCACGATAATCATGATTTATACTCTTTGCGCACACTCATCCCAGCACGCGCGGAATACCGAAAACAAAGCCGCCATCACGTTAAAGTCATTAATATCACTTTACCCTTTCATAGTTGCGCGCGCGGCGCCGGAATATGATAAATCCCGCTCGAGTCTCAGGATACCATTCGTGGCCTGGATAACTCGACGTTTCACGTCGATTTTTCCGCCGGTAATTCGATCTTTTTCGGTGCATCTCGAGGGAAAACGAAAGAAAGAAGGGGAGAGAGAGGGGAATGTGCTTATGGAAATCGATAGTCGACGAGGCTGTGCTTCTATTTTTAGGTGGCTCATTTTGACCAGAGTTAAATTTTAATTATCCTCATTGATTCGCCAGAAATATAGCGCTTTCTGCGGAAGATTAAGATCGGAACTTTAACGAGTCATCTTTGCACGTTGCGAAAATTGATATCTGGCCTCCGAGCAATAAAAACGCACGTGTATTTTTCGATATTTTCGAATAATTTTTCCAATGTTTTCCGTCCAAACTTTTTTACAAGTTCCCAAAAACACCAGGGAAACATTTTAGCAATATTCAGTAATAAAAAAAATGAGTAAACTAAAATTGGCGCATTTGTTGATGATGAAAATAAGAGATGTGATTTTAAATTTCTATTAATTTGATAAAATTTGATGGAAGAAAATATTCCAACTTTATATTATTGTATGCAATAAATCGATCAGTTTATTTCGCGTACCGATTGGAAAATCATGCAATAAATCTGCGCTTTCTTTCTCGTCAATAATCTACTTACTGAAAGAGCTTTATATATAATTATGTCCCAAGAAATTTTAAATCTTATTACGACGGGATAATTGTTAATATAATTGTTAATATTTTGTATATTTGAAAAACTTTAGTTTGAACTCTTTGAAAATATCAAATGTTTGAAATGAGAAAAAAATTAATAGATGGATTTAAATAATAGATGGATATAAATAATAGATAAATAGAAATTTGAATGTATCTTATTGCTTTCTCTTTTTCTTCTTTTCGTTTTTATCAATCTCTTTTCTCAACTAATATTTCGGAGACAGCGCACGATTTATGTGCTATATATATATATATATATATTTTTCGGCTCTCTGGACCCCCGTGCGTTTTTTACAATTTAAATTCGCTCCCTGTATTTTCGGGCACGGCTGCTTATTTGGGGACGGTATTGCTCGCTCGAGATCCCAGCCGAATTTTTCTTACCACATTGTGGTACGAATGTTCATTTACATACCCTGGATATATATCCGCAAGCATTTATTTATTTTACGACAAAGTATTTTTTTTTCTTTTGTTTAATAACAAAGAAGACAATATTAAATTTATGCTGTACTATTACGCACAATTTTTTGACAATTTTAATTTACTCGCAAATAAATTGTCTAAACGATTTAATCATGGCTAATTTGAAATCAAGAGAGTCACCTGTCAACATTATATTGTTGAATTAAAAATCTAAAGCTTCCTATTTATATTTCCTAAGTCTATCTTTTCTCTTTTACAGACGCAGAAGCCTTTATCTTAACTTAAGGAGATTTATCAGTCGCGACGAGAAAAGTGGGCATTAGTCGGGGCATTAAGAGCGCAAATAAGCGCGCTCTGTTTAGTACGGCCAAGTATCCGGCAGCGAGTAAATTGTCTACATTTTTCAAGGGCTTCTTCGCTCTGACACTTTCGCGTTTTATCCTCAAAAATGAACGCGGATGTATCCGCGAGGCTATATAACTCGTTCAGTTTTGCAAAAGAAAAAAATGAATTAAAGAAATTGGATGTCGCTGATTTTTTTTTTATTTTTTTACCGAATAAACTATTCAACGGTTTGAATCTAAAATTTGAAAAGTATATATACATCGACAATAAAAGAGATAAGAGGACACTCACCAATGGTTGTTATCACAGTGAGGGAATATAAAAAAGCGCCGGCGAAGGTCCACTTATTTTCCTCCATTCCGTTGTATCCGCTTTTTGCAGCCGACACCACCCTTTTCTGGTAATTCTCAAGAATTTCCCTCACCTTTGCTTTCCACAGCTTCTCCGAGAACACATTTTCCTACAATATTAGTGACGTTAGAGTATTAATGAAGGAGAGAAATTACCATCGACGATGTTAATAAACATATATACACGGGGAACCTATAATAATCCAAACTTCATCTCGCAATCTAATATTTCGAATCTAATATTTCGATGTAGATTATCGTTTCTGTTATTGTATACGTCGAGTCCGGAACTGACGCTCGTAACTTTAATTGACGTTTCAACCAAACAGAGACGCGTGAAAATCCATACGAAAGAAATCGCGGTGGTCGTAAAAAAAGCGGATATATCCTCGGACCTTCTGTTATCTCGATAAAAATAACTGGATAATCATCTAAATGAAATAATCGCTTCATCTTATTTTTATGTAAACTATTAATATCATCTTTAAAAAAAATTTCTCTCTCCAAATATATATGTAGCTTTAAAAAATAAGGATTTATAAAAAAAATAAGTATAAGTATACAGTTTTATTCCTTAAATTGTTTTTCTTAAAAGCGTCATCAAAATTATCCAGCGTCTTAAAATTATCTAGATAAAATTTTGTAATTAAATTTATAAATGTTATACATTTTTTATTAATTTTTCTCTCATTTTTCATTCAGATAATTTTAAAAGGACAATTTTTATCTTATTCTTGATACTTTATATATATATGTTATCTCATTGTTAGCTAAATTATCTAAGCGGAACACTGTCTTTTAAAGGTACTTCTGGAGTATTCACGATTCCATTGTGCCCTGCTGTCGCAGCACAAAGAGAGATGAGAAAGTACGACTTGGGTAAATCTTTCACCTTAGAAGTTAGCTCCCAAAGAGTAGCGGCCGTCAGGTTCCTCAGTTTAATGAAGTCATTGGCGACGTTCGGTCTGGTCCTACCCTCGATGTGGGCGAACAGGAAAGCGCCCGCGATGGTGTAGCCCACCACCAGGCAGACGATGCCCACGTTGCTGAAGAGAAAGGCTACCAGGGACCTGGTCCAGTCGGCGATTCGCTTATTCCACGGCTTCCGCCTGCGTTTCCGCCGTCTGCTCCGACCGCGATAACTTCCGCGCTGCCAGCTCCGATTACTGCCCGACGAACGGGACGGTTTGTCCGACTCCATCTCGGTCACCTTGACCGGATCACCGATTTGCGGACATCACGCTTCCGGTTCGCCAAGCACTCGTATTTTCTCGCGGAAGGATATCGAAAGACAGGGAGTTTAGGGAGCTTTGATCCTTATCTCTTGACGATTTATCGACGATCGCGGAATCTCTCGCAAAGGAAATCACATTGTCCCTTGAAAACCGCAATCGAGGAGCTTCTACAGGATTATCTTTCGGTCGGATTAGTCCGTTCGCTAATTTATAGCCTGAATAAATCGCCAGTCAGTCATCTTATACATTAGAATCTTCCTCGAGACACTCGATTAGCATAAAAATTGGATTATAATTCGCGGGATTCTTCGCAAGACTGACGCTTATCTTCTCGGCACTTTAGAATGTCTTCTTATTAAATTATCTATCGGAAGTCAGACTGATCTCTCGCAAAAAATGCATTTCCGACTATACGCTTAATGAGTAAGTGTGCGATATATACGCGTCGATCGACTTTATTTGAATCATATTTTTCAAGTCGACAGTTTAGGGAAAAAAATGTTCATTGCTCGCGACGATCGATTAACCGATGGTGTTATTACCGACTCTACGGGCATCTCATATATAATGGATCTTCCGTATAAGAAGATCGCGAGTTCTTCGAGACCGCGCCGACCTGGTCTAATGGAGAATTACGCCGGGTGAATTTAATGAAAAACGTTGCGTTCTCTCCAGGGGATCTCCTTCGCGGCGGTTGACTCTTCCCAGGAATATTTGGTATCGACTTCGTCCGCGGGGAATCGAAAACACGACGACGACGAGCCACTTGGCCGTTTAACAAATTCTGTTGTGAAACTGTTTACGACCCCGCGAAAAATGATCGACGATTTTCCTGAAACCGTCGGGGACGCGAGTCTCTTTAATTAAATTTCCCTCGCTTTTGTCCCTAGACTCTTCTAGCAGATCGAATATAAAAGCAACGAGATTTTTTCCAAACGAAAGAAACTCACTCAAGCGTATCTCTTATAAATTAAACGAGATATCGATCTCTTTGAACGATAAACCTCGGGTGGATTAGAATCTTTTATACCTTCAAATCGCGCAATCGATTGTGACGTTAATAACGAGACGCTTCAGTTTATCGAAATTAATATGAAGGTCCGTCTCTCCAAGGGTTTTACCGCCATCCCGATTGTTGAACCGGGAGGACGTTATTGCCTCCGAAAGTCATCTATAAGTATCTTCAATGGAGAGCCAGGACAGGAATTAGAAAAAATTCGAGGTATCGATAAGGATCGATGAAGATTAACGACTCGATGAATCGGTGCCATTCGCTTCGCGCACCGTAATCATCGAAATTTCCATTGACACTCGGGATTTCTACGTTTATGCTCGCGTTTCACGCGAGCTATACTTAGACACGTATACGTCTACGCGGCTGGTGCACCAGACAGACCGATTACGAGAGACCCGCTGCCACGTGTCGACGAGCCGCTTATAAATTGGAAACATCGTTCGTTTCTTCTCTTGTAGATCATTTTCCTGGACGATGTATCCATCCGTCGATCGTTTACTCCGTCGCGACCATAAATTCTCCAGGATCTGTGCCTTTGTTTCTTTGCATGCATTGACCTCGTTGATCGTCTCTTGGCAACGATCTTGTTATATCGTTGTATGCGTGTCGCGACTGAGGTTTCCGAATAAATTTCCGCGTGTCGCTTTCGCGAAAAAATCCGGAATAAGGATCAAACTTGGACTCCAGGCCTGATTGCCGAGTGTGCGAAAAACGACCCGCTTCGATGAGACTCCCCCGTAAACTGAATCCGTGACACCCCGCATAGTCACGACGCGCACCGTCTTAAAATAGCACGTCGCTGAAAATAACTGGGTTTAAGCCGCTTGGTCGAATCGCCGATTCAATCCGGACACCCGGTAGACAGATTCACTGCAATCGGAAAGTCGCGATATCAAAATTCGATCATAAAAAGCGATAACGATTAACAAATTAAGACCAATTTCTTCTTTATTCTCTATATTATTTATTTTTTTTTTTTTAAATAAAACGATTTGAATAAAAATTGATATCCGGAAAATAAACGAGAAGAGGATTGTTATAAATCGATTATTTTTCATTGGTGTGTGATTTATATATTCTGCACAAAAATATTTAACTTCCCGCGGGGAAAATAATTTTCGACGCCACCGAAAGAGAGAGAGAAAGAGAGAGTCAAATCGCGCAATGCGTTAAAATTTATGAAATGCAGATTTCCCACGCGCGATGGGGTGGTTGGTTCGTAATGTACGCGAGCGGAAGTTCTTAGCGACTATTATTTCTCCTTCGAGTGGGCTTTATCACGCGATTATCGAGTCGTTGAAGCCCACCGCCGTTGCCGCCGTCGAGACGATTAACGTCCTCGCAATTTAAACGACGAAATGCGACTGCGAAGCGGCCAGAACGTATATGTGTGTACGCGAGTGCATATGTGTGTATACATATGTATACGTGGATCGCAAAAGGGATGAAAAGGATTTGCATAGCGAGTGTGAATTTTGCATGCGGCAAGTGCGTCCGGGAAAATATTGTAAGGACAATCTTTTGCGCGCGCGAAAAGTAGTAAGCCGCGCAAAAATGTCGCTCGTTCTGCTGCTAGGAGATAATCGCGTACTCTTGTGTGTGCTCTCGAAGAAAATTTAAGGGACTGCCGGAAAAATGTCTCTTGGAGACGCGAGCGTTTCGGATTTTTAGCTCTCTACGCGCGTGGCCGCTCTTTGAGAGGTAAATAAATGTCTCGCTTAGTTATATTCTTGTCTGTCGCGTTTATTTTTCCTGTGAATAAAATTTAAATACATATAAAATTTAAATATTTAATAAGTATATATATATAATCTTAAATTTTCGCAAACTTTTATTAAATGAATAAATATTTTCATGTTTTTTAGTACTGATGGAAAGAAACGTGATAAGTTGATTAGAGAGAATGATAAGATAAAAATATATAAGAGAAGGAGAAAGAAAAAGAAAAGATAGTTTTTTGCGAAAACATTTATATATACATACGTGTGTGTGTTTATTTGCATATAATTTATATATGCATGTATAGCATAAATATTTATTATATATAATATAATAAATATATTATAACATATTAATATACGTAAAATACTTACAATTATATATGTAATAATATAATAATTGCCTCCCTACAAAAAAAATAACGAGAAAGGAAAATATTCAAAATGCAAATATTCTAGATATTAAAGCTATCACTCTGTAATGTATATGCAAATTTAATTGCATTCCGCGATTGTTCACTTATTCATTTTGTGGAAATTAATTCCCAGATTTATATATATTAGAAGTATTTTCATCTCTTCGTGACGCTCGCAAGACATGGTTTCTCCCTTGCCATTGTTCCATTAGCACAACTAACAGTATGTTTTAATAATGTCGAAATTTGCAACGTAAAAACTGAAAAGGTCAAGAATTCTTTATAGCTTTAGTTAATTAAAATTTTCTTACAATACCAGCAGTTTGCACCTGTAAAAAAGAAGAGATTATTGAGATCGTTCAAAAAATCAGACTCGAATCTCCAGTGTTAACAATTTATCGTTAATAATTTATCATTTTTTGATGATTCGATTTTACGATTATTTAATAAATACCCTCCCATTTTAATTTCAGTTCACAATAACTACTAATTTTGTTGTCACATTGATCCGTTCTATAATAATTTTAATCAAGTCGGTAAAATATTTAAATCAGCGTATTTATAATTCAATTTTATATTATAAAATGATTAATCGTTTGTAATGATTTTTTCTTGAAATAGCTTATCCAAAAACGAAAAGAAAAATAAATTATTCGATCGGGAATTCGCGTCGTGAAACTAATTTGTACGTCGATCTTGATGTGAATCGAAAGAGATCTCTCGGATCCCGTGACGGATCTATGGGATGATGAATGAACGTCGCGGTTCCCGATCTCGTCCTATTGGTAAGCTTGGAAAACCGAGAGTGAGAGAGAAAGAGAGAGAGAGAAAGAGAGAGAGAGAGAGAGAGAGAGACATGGAGTCACAGCTTGGGCTCGTTTTCATAGACCTCATCCTCGTACTCTGCGTCGTATTCGTCGTAGTCTTCGGCCTCTGCCTCGTCGTCGGTCTCTTTGATGATACCCAGCCTCTTCGCGACGCTCTTCACGTTGTTGATGACCTCCTCCTGCACCAGATTAAAGCTCATTGCCAGCAAGGCAATTCCAAATAGCAAGTAGAGAGAACAAAGGGCGATACCATACTGCGCGTCCAGCTTGTACGCAGGCACAAAGTCACCAAAACCTTAAAAGAGAAATAGGAAATGTATACACCGAGTCTTGCATCCTTGAAATTAACATTAGGTCAATAGGTAAAGAAAGGGATGAATGTATAAACAAAATATTATACATATAATTTTCTTCAAGAAGTATTACGTTATTTCTTGGGATCTTTTTATAAAGAGCAATATTTATATTCAATTTTTTAAACAGCATTAATATCTAATTATCTAATAATATCTAATATTTAATTATCTAACTGATAATCTTATTATTCATTATTTTACAAATAATTATATAAAAAAATAATTACTTTATTAGTATTTTAATAAAACCGCATAGACTCTTTTAATTACTATGAAGAATAAATTAAGAAGCAACAAAAATGCTCCAATTTTTTATGAAAATCGCAGGAAAATAAATTTATTTTAATATGCGTTGTTTTGTTGACTAGAATAATGAAGAAACATCACGTTTTTTTAAAAGAAAGAAAGAGAATATAAGGAAAACGAACCAATGGTGGTTAACGTGATGAAGCAGAAGTAAGCCGAGTCGAGGAACGACCATTTTTCCCTCTCGCTGAAGAGGTAGGCGCCGCCGAATATGTAACTGACAACTAGGAAGACGCACAGCCAGATAGGCACGGGCTTGATCGGTTGTCTCTCATGATCATCCGCGGCAGCATAGTACTCGTAGTCAAAATCGATATCGTCAGCGTAAACTTGTCGATGCACAGCGAATCCCATCGGCGACATAATCCTCGGCGTCGATGGTCCTCGCTTAAAAGACCGCGCTGAGGATGATTATTTATTATGATCAGCAAGTACGCGATATATCGATTTGCCATCTGACCTAATTACAATCTACGAGAGTTTCGAATGACTTGAAAATATTCGAGAGATATTCTAAAAACTATAAAATCACACGAATTACCAATTTGGATTTTTATCGCGACTCAACCGACCGGCTTTCATTAGCGGAATCACTCACCGACGGAATAATTGCTCCTGCTGCGTCTACTCTTGCCGGATTGCGATCTTCTCATATGCTCCATTTCCAAATAGACCGAAGGTGGTCGGAGCCCTGACGTCAAATTCGTTCTCTGATTCGTCGTGGCACCTTCCACAGAGAGGCATCTCCTCGGCAAGGATCTAGGATTAAGGGAAGTTTGCTTCTCGCTGCTATCCGGCTCCTCAGTCGTTCCATTGCTTTGCGGCCTCTGCGAATTCTCTGCAATAACATCGATTTTGTTTAATTTCTTCGAGTCCTTTAAAGAGCGATCGTCTACACAACAGCAGCGAACATCTATCTGGATCTTTAATTAATAATATGTATAATCTAATTATATAATTACATTATTTAATATTGATAAATTTTCGATTAACATTTCTTAAAAGTAATTATTTTTTATATTAAATAATGGATAATTAAATCGTATAAACAAAAATATGCAAAAAGTACGCAAAAATAGAATTGCTCATACAAATAAAACAGCATTCGCTGATACTTGCCTCTAGTTCGAGATGATGACTGCCATCTCAGCATCTCATCCTCCAAATCGTCCAACGCATATTTGTTGCACAAAACTGGCGAGCGGTCAGCGTCGTTCGGATTCATTAGTAATTTTCTGTCCAACGATTGCGTCGTCATCCTGGGGCTGGCTGTATACGATAATGAAAGTATACAAACAAATCGACCGACAGTTTAATTAATCGATGAGTCGATAACGAGAATGATGTGGCGCGATCGATGCGCTTGAATTAATTAATTAATATCTAGTGAATATTTTATAAAAGGAGGGAGGGAATCGATGCGGCGACATGGAAGCATTTTTGTCTCGCATGTGACAATCCTGTGCGTACAACCGATATATCGTTTACTAACTTTTCATCATATCAATAACAAGATAAATAATAATCTACATTTTTATAATATATTATAAATAAATAAATATATATATATATATATATATATACATATAAATTAATTATATATTAATAATAATTTATATATTAATTATTCATATAACCTATTAATATCCTTATATATTTTTTTGAATATCCGACAATTATTTATATTTTCCGACAATTGTTTGTAAAATGATTGAAACCAACTGTTTGCGCGTTAAATAACAAACAAAAATAAAACGAACTGTTCCGATATCGGTGTCGCTTTTTATCGATCAATTACAATTAATTTAGAGCAATACGATTAACTTATAAAATAAATAGTAAATAATTAGTATATTCGTTAAGAGAAAGTACCTCTTACACTTTTTGGAGTAGCCATCGGAATATCTGAATAACGTGGCATAGTCGCGGCCTTAGTTTCCATCGGATGATTCGTGGAAGATGCATAAGCGCTTGACACTTTCGAATCGGTTCCTTCGAATCGTCGATGCATATATCTATAGTTTATTTGATTTTAATCATTTAATCATTAATTATTTAATATTTTATTTAATATTAATAATTTTATTATCTTCAAAAGATTATTTTTGTTTTTTACATTAAACATATTTGTATATATATATTTTAAATATATATTTTCTATTAAATAATAGGTAATCACATCATAAATAATAAATAATAGTATGGCACCATAATATAATATAATTAGAGGAGTTATAAAAAACTGTCAACCATTTATGCAAAAATATAATCACTTTATAAAAGCAAGTTCTCTCATAATTGCTTTACATGAGTTATTCTCTTTTTCAATTTTAAAGGAAAATTATTTCTTTTTAATTCTGTTATTAATCAAAACTTTCTCATATAAAGATTAATGTTTTATGTAAAATATAAATTAATTTCTTTTATGTATATTAAAGAAAGAAAAAGAAAAAGAAAAGAATGGAAATAAAAAATAAATATTTCAAGAGGTATTTATTTTATCGATATTAAATTTTATATTTCTTGCTACATAAAAATCACGTAATTTAATTAAACATTTAATTATGGAGATACTATGTGTTTGCACATTAAATATTCAGTTCTCCTTAGATAATAAAATTCCTCGACTGATTTCTCGTCTAATCGAGAGATTGAATTATAAATCCAAGAATAATTTTACCTGCAATCGGTGTCGGAGTATGAAGACTTCGTCATACTCTCGGAAAGTCCCAAGGCCGAATCAGCTGATCGTTGACTCACTCTGATGGATCGGCGAAGCGGACCTTTGCTTGATCCATATCGCCTTATAAAATAAACATCTGTGTATACAATCGCACAATAGATTTCTAAATCTTCCCAAACTTCTTTCCAAAAACCATTTAATTCAATTTTTCGATTCAAGAATCCAAAAATGTGTGTTTAAGAAATAACGTTTCCGTGTGACATAATTATAATACGTCATCGACCAGTAATATATCCTATCTGACATATCAATATAACATTTTTAAAAATTAAACATGTGATTTTTTTCTGTAACTTTTTAATATTTCTTACTGTAATATAATATACCTCTCATATTTTTAATGTTTACATTATATATGAAATATTACCCTGGTTGACGGACGGAGTACGATCTGACAAAGGTATTACGCCCTCGTCGTTTTTTCGGCGGTTTTGTGCATACGTAACAACATACTTTCCAATATAGAAATCTAAAAAAATATCATGAACGTAAAAGAAGGAAATTATTTTTCAGCAATAATAAAAACTACTAAATGTTCCCTGTGCGATATGATGGCTAGAAATGCAATTTTTATACGTTTTCCATTTTCCAAATACGTGACCCGTATTAGATTAAATATTGTCTGTTATTACCTGAAACTGGACGCCATCACGTCTCCGATATTCGAAAGACAGAGCAACATGAGTGGAATGCCGAGAATGGCGTAAAAAATAGTCACCACTTTTCCATTTTTCGTTTTCGGCGCGATGTGACCGTATCCTGGAATAGAGAATGAAAAAATGGAAACAAATTTCTCGTTTTTGTCGAAAAAATATAAAATTATCACGCAACGAAAGATTCACTCGATAAAGACCATGGTGAAATGCAATTTCGCGAAAAATGACTGATATCGTTCAATGATCCCTTTGCCGTTGAATTAAATGATCAAAATTCTATCATCATAAATCATTCTAAAGCGAATTGTGAAAGAAATCGCGGTCATTTAGATCTTTAGCCTCGCCTTGGCCTTGAATCTCTTCGAAACCTCTTAGAGACCTCGTGCAGCTTTGTAATTTCGTCTACGAGTCTGGGTCAAGGTTGCCGGGATTCCTTATTCGATAATACGTGGGACCACAGCTATTACATAAGATTTTCATTATTTGGCGATGTTCTGAGAATCCTCTATGAAAGTCAATATTTTTCTCTTTCATAGCTTTCCCGAAAAGTTATCAGAAGCAATTCACATTCTTCCATAATTAATGACAAAGAACGATAAATTTAAGAAAAATTGCACACATGTGATTTTTCGAATATAATAATAATATAAGAAATATTTCGGACGATATCAAACAAAATAATTTCATAAAATGTTAATATTATAAACTATTGAGAAAATAATGTAGAAAAAATATTGTAAAAAATATTTTTTTCAATACTTAAAAGATAAACATAGTTCTCTTATACGTAAAATGATGTAACAAATGATGTAACATGTTGAAGGAATAATTTATGATAATAAATTATTCTCAACAGAAAACCTTTCTTTCCCTCTTTTTTCCTTCTCGGATTATTTGAACGGTTCAGCTGGCGTAAAATCTCGAAACTATTATTTGCTCGATTGTGGTTAACTAAATATTTTTTTTCATTTTAAAATGGAATTTCGAGTTTTTTATTTGCTTTATGTATATACGTATATAGCCTGCTCATTATAAGATATCCAAAAAACGTACCATTTCCAGAATGTAATGAGATGAATTCAATTTGATCTTCTTTTTAAGTTCTCATTGTGGAGGAGGATGATTTCCGCGAAAAACCTAGTTAAAACGCGCTCATAACAACTTCCTTTCCGTTTTATCGAAAGGGCAGATTTATCTTTCGAGAGGCGGATTCGGGAAACGTGAGAACGACGATCCAATTTCATAAATTCGTCCCGAAGAGAAGCTATTTATTACGACGAAACGACGACAATTTGAAACGTCCTTTAGCGAAATCGATCTTTGTGACTTTGCGCGATAAAAGATTTCGCGAAAGAGCAGCAACGCGCGTTTCTTTCTACGATACGTGATTACGATAAGCATTTTAGGTATCGTTACTCACGATTTTCTCGTCAGTGTAAACGATGCCGGTGTTTATGATAGACGTTTCCTCTCCTCTCCCGAAACTGCCAGTGAGAAGAAGGATCTCCCCCACATACGGGTATAAATTTCCGGCGTAGCGCAGCATCAATGCATTATGCAACCGTATGCAGCTCAGGATGGTGAAGAGGAAGTAACGGGGAAGAGAAACATGCGAGGCAAAAACCCCGTTTCCTCATAGCGAATATATACATGAATTTCCCGAGGATCCCGAGATGTCGAAAAGGCATCGCGCGATCCATTCGCGTTGCGAGATCTCGCCTTTATTTTTCATTTCTCTCCCTCTCCCTCTCTCTTTCTCTTGAATGGTGTAACGCTTTTATTCGACGAGGAATAGAAGTTGAGAGAGAAAGAAAAAGAGAGAAGCGAGGGAGAGATGAGAAGTAGGTCGCGCAGTCGATGGCAGGAAATTATTTGAAAAGGAAGAAAATATAGAGAGAGAGAGAAAGAGAGAAAGTCGCAATCGCGAGCGACCTGTCGAAGAAATGAATTTTCGTCGAAGGATAAGCGTGTTCGATCGCGGCTACGGTCGGGTCAGCTGCGAGAAATTTCGATGATTTCTCGATTTCTTTCCTCGACGAGCCATATCTAAAATCGCTGGAGCTAATTTTTTACGCAATTATAAGCCGGAAGTGACCTAGCGATTGCGAAAAAGTCGATTGAAACGATTGACCCAAACATTATAACATCGATTTCCTGTTTCGAAACTTTTCGATATAATCATGTCGTCATTTTATAGTATTAAGATATATTTTAGTATTGAATTAAATAAAGATATTAAAAAATTAGTGCTATTAAAATTTTAATTTGTGTAAATTGAGAAAAATGATGATTATTTCTCAGCAGAACTGTTAATTTAAAAAATCTGAGCCACGGAAAAATTAAACAAAAATTACGCGTCAAAGATAAACTATTATAATAAAACTTTATTCTATAATTAATTTTATGTAAACTTTGCCGTAAATTTTCATTACAGGCTTCATCGCCGAGATATTTAATATCGAAGAGAGATTAAAATTTTCCTTCATTAAGACGAATACTATACTGTAACTGACGTAAAGGAACTGTCATTGAAATTTTAACTGGCTTTGGTGCAATTTATATTTTTTAATACTTATTAAATATGTTAAATAATAAAAAATAATAAAAATTTGTTTTTATTATTTTCCCTCGATAAAAGTACGCAATAAAAATATATGCACCGTAATTATTTATCAACTTTTTAATAAAATAATATGAAAGATAAAATAATAGTACACATTCGAAGATAAAGTATGATTAATGCACGTAAAAATAGTTACAAAATATTATTTGTATTTATTTATATTTTTGTAAAAATATAAAGTGACAATTATGTAAAATTCAATAATTAAGTTTTTGCTGGTTTAGATTATCGTTACAATTTTAGTAGCAAAACTGTTACATATAAAACAATAGCGGGAATAAAAGTCGCAACGAACCATCTCAAAGTGTTCGCCGCCCTCTTTTTATCGTATTTACTGCGGCGGGAAATTGCTTGAAAAAGGTCACGTGCCAGGAAATTAGTTGAAAAGCGCGAGGATGGTTGAAGTTTCTTCTTTCGCCGATTCGCGAAATAAATTCTTAAGGATCTTTGCGACAAGTTTTAAAGTGGCCGAAGATCCGATTTCATCAATTCACGGCGAAAGGATTACGATATTTGATTCGATTTTCTTCGCACTTTAAGAGAGCCTTGATGATATAAGAGAAAAGCGAATTTTGATTGAAAAATCGTTCTTAACAATGTTTTATTTTTTTGCAAATATTCTTATTATGTAATTTTTGGTTTTTTTTTATTTTTTTACCATATACTGTTATTCATAAAACTGAGATCAAATTTTTCTCAAAATTTCAAGAAATTATTTAAATATATTTGCACATATCCTAATATTCGATAACATACAATAGATTTCTTTTCATATCTGCTCTTGCTATATTTTTTCTATAATTTTTTTTCTTTTATTTTTATTTACATATAAACTTTTCAAATAATTTTTTCCTTTTTTACTATAAATTATATTACTTTATAGTGTCTTTTATAATTTATTTCTTTAATATCCTTGTATCTCTTTGTTTTTAAGATTGAGTTTAATCTGTCTACAAAGCAAATTTGTTGCAATTTTTGCAATTTAAATGTCTGGGAGTATTATAATTGGATACCTATGTTGCATAGCATGTGCTGCAACACGTAATGATGGTCTTCCGACTAAGAGATTTAACGTATATTTCAGCTCGAAAGGGAGACCATTTAATCGAATTGAAAATTTTTCATCAAATTCTCAAAAATATCATTTCGCGAGTTTACATTCGATTTTAATTCGCAAAGTATACTCGCGACAGTTCGTTGCTTTTGCACGAACATCCGAAACACTGAGAGAATGTCAAAATTGTCGTTTTAATCGCCAGGGGAAACAGAAAAAAATTCCGTTGCTCGCTTAAAAGCTCCGTTTAATCTCATAATGAAAAGATGTCATGAAGAAATAAATTTCAAAGCACACACGGAATGTAAAAGGCGCATTTGTCCTGACACAAGTTTGTTGTTTCGTTAAAAATACAGACGGAAGCGCATCTACATTCCATATCACTTTGCTAACCGACAAGAAGTCATAATATTTTCAGGGGAATTTATTAAAAATTTTTCCACCCTCCCTCATTCATTCATTGATCGAACGAGCCTGATCTATTTTAAATCAAACAACGATGGAAATAGAGTCCACTGAGAATATTCGTCCTAGATTTGTTTTCTTTAAAACAGAGAATAACGTTTCGCGATTCTAAGGCAACGGGATTGATATTTTCCGGACATATGCGATCTCCGCACGTGCGTATGACATATGACGCGGATTCGCCGCTAAGAAGATTGGCGGGCAAATGTAGCTTAATGAAGAGGATGTATTTTTCAAGAGTGAAGGCTGAAGATCCCTCTCTCTAACGGAAGGTAATTTCGATGTCGACCGCGGGAATTAACGTTACGCCATGCGTCTTGATTTAAGAGAAGGAGGTCGAAGAGGACGTGGCAGCGGCTTCCTTCCCTTCCCTGTCGAAGAGCCGGATTTTCCCAGGTCGAAGGACGGGCGCGCTCGAAGGAGCGGAACCGGCCTCAAAATATATCCGAGCGGATCCACCCACGCATGCGCCGTATACTGCATAATAACGTTATTCGCTTGTAAATCGCAATGTAATCTCGATCCTGCGAACGCAATGTAAATGAGTAAACGCTATCCAATATTCATTTCGTAATTATAACAGCGGCAGATTCTCTTGCTATCTCTCACACACGTGAATTTTGGAAATGATCTGAGAATTAACGCATTCTCTAGCCGCTAAATTTCTACTTTTTTCGCCTTTGACAAGTTTCGATAATGAGATTAAATTTTATTTGTTTATTCTATATATTTCAAATTGTTGAATATTTTTAATCTCGCATATTTTAATTTATTCCATATGTAAATTTTATTAAAAACATATTTATGCAAATAAATATACGTGCTGATGATTTCAATTAGCATTTGAATCAGCTGATGATTTCAATTAGCATTTAAAGCCGTGGGGATTTTGCTATTATTAAAGAAGTTAAGTTTTGATGAATTAATTTATTCTCTTTAAATTAGGATACTTCCGGGAACGCTTCTATTGTCATACGAATAAAAATCAAGTAAATAACCGACAAATGATAAAGTAAACATATTTAAAAAAGAGATAGAACACGTTATATCGAATTAAAATAATACGCTCGGAACACTAACAATAGTGTTCTTATCAAAAATTACATGTCTTGAAACGCGTCAAACAACATAACAAAGTGTTACGCCAGATTTTTCAGATTTGCGTGGAAACAAAGGTAAAATATCGTCGTAGATCGATCGCAGATGATTATCGTTTAAAGAGACCTCGAAGTAGCGGTGCGTTTACCTTGTTACAGTGATGCATATATAAAGACGCGACTCACTTTCACTCTCGTTTAGTCTGCTACGAATCTTATGCGTACGAACAGTACGCGTCTCTCTTTTCAGAGATAATTTAACACGCAAAGAGAGAATCGAGACGCTAAACGTCGTACGTTATTAAATTCTTCTCCGTATCTGCCGATAATAAATATGCGAATTTTTACTCTGATTCTTTTCGTTACGATTGCGGTGGCGATCGCCGAGAAAGATGACTCCTGGACCTGGCATGACGATAAACAGAAGCCGACAAGCCGAGCTGCTGACGCCAGGTGCGCTATCGATTCTATAATTTATCATCAATTGGTGTAACCACGCGAATAATTCTTTTACATTTTTTTTGTTTAACTTGTTTTATTGTAAATATATTTATATTTATTTCACGGAGTAATGTAATTTATATATATTTTTTTTATTATAATTATATCGTAATTAGTTCCTGTTTTATTGTAATTGTATTTATAAATTGTGATGTCATTTATAATTTTTGATAAATATTATATAAATATATATTTGTATGTAATATAGATTTTATATATATATATATATATATATATATATATATAATATTATAGATAATAAAAGCTGATATTTAAATTTTAACAAAAAATTTTAAAGAAAAAGTGAAAAAAAATTATGAGTTAATTTTATCCAGGAGTATAGATAGTATTTATATAATAATTGTGTAGAAAATATTATATATATGCATATATAATTAAACACGCATATAATACTATGTAAAATTTTAAAAATTGAAAAATTTTTTAATTTTATAAATTGAATAAAAAGTTTAAAATTGAAAAATTTTAACTTACACAATTACGGCAGTTTTTTGGAAAAGAAACATAATATTTTATATATGATATATTTTCAAATTGGGAAAAGAAAAGAATGATGGGATTATCTTTACTTCACGATAAATTTGACTTATACGAATAACTTTCAGATATCAAGTGTACGAGCCTGAACATTTGGAAGGTTTCAATAACAATGGCGTTCATTCAGGCTTTAGGCCTGAAAATCCAGGACCTTATGGTCCTAATGGCAGACCGCTCGTACCACCGTACCAAGGTAATAACGGTGTCCTCGTGGGCCCCGGTGGACCGACCGGAATAATTGGCAGGTATTTGTTCCCATGATTTCTCACCATTGAGAGCTCTTCTCGCGCGTTTCAGATATTCGAATATTTCTCATTCATTTTAATTTCGCGATCATTAATTAGTTGAATTAATCAGCTTTTCGAAAATACTGAAGCTGTTTAAAAATCCGCGAGTCGTGAGAGGTTCCATGACTAAATCACACTTTGCCAAACAGATTCAATAATCTCGGAAAAGTGGGATTTTCCGCTCCGACCGGTGTATCATCTCTCCTCTTCCCTCTCTTCTCCGGCTTTCTCTATATTAAATTTCCAATGATCCGATTAAAATATATAGGTGTCTCGTCTGTTTTTCACATACGGCGGAGGGAATCGCGCTTAATTTATAGATATCCCGCGCATTTAATTGCGTGCGAGGCGCGGTTCGGTCGTAACGATATTTCATGAGAGACGGCTCATTCCCGAAGAGAAAACCGGCGTTGAATTTTTCATCAACTGCATTGTGAATAATTTCACGCGTTTCATCTATTACGAAACTTACGAGCCGAATAATTTCCTCAACCGTTATTTTTTCATGTCAGCCGAAAAACTCGGCTTCTCGCGATTCTAATCGGAAATTTATATTCTTTCGAAAATTGGTTCGCTACATCGAGCATTATTGCTATTGATTTGCCGATGTGAGAGAATAACCCTGGAATATCGTTGATGTTTCAGACCGCCGCGTTATAACCCGTACGGACCCGATGGTTTCCTAGATTCGGTGCCGCCCTGGATCAGAGATGATCCCCGTTATCGCGAGTTCGACACCTGCAAGTGCAGATACAGCTTCAATTGCCCGTCGCCTGGCTTGAAATTCGTGAGTTCGATTCAACAAACTCGGATAAAGAGAGAGAATGTAGAACTTGACAAGCTCTTGCCCACTATCTCGTTTCAGGGCCACTGCTCGAGGGACAAAAAGTACTGTTGCTTTAACAGCAGAAGGTTCCCAGAACTGTTGGGAGGACAACGTTATCCATATTATCCGGTAAAATAAAATCTAAATCCATTTAAATATTTACATATTTCCGATATACTTATATCTTTAACATATATGCAAAGTGGGGCAAAATTTTATGACCTAAGATTTTAAGTTTTTTTTGGCACAGAAGTAATAATTAACTGATATAAAAAAATACATAAATAACATGCATGAGTAATTGCATCCTGCAAGTGCAATATTGTATTTGTATAAAAATAGAACCATAAATCGACATGACTGCAGCAAAGATAATTTAAGTTAAAAATATGTCCCCATATATTTCATTTTTTTTTCTAATCGATCTCCTTGAAAAAAAAAATTAAAAAAGAAAAAAGTATACGACGCGAGCACAAAAGCTATTATTTATTTGTACAATTTACAATGTCGTTTACGGAGTATTCTCAACTGGACTCTATTTGCGTGTAATTGAGAATTCTCCTGCGATAGGAAATCCCTCTTCTTTCTCTCCTCATAATTGTCCCCTAAGTAATAGTTAATTCTCAGGGTACGCCGCCCAAGTACGGAGCGAACGGCTTCGCGCCGACGTCGAATTATTACGGCAATCGAAGACCGTATGGTGGCTACCAGCATCCGTCTTCCGGTGACTATTATCCGGGGCCCTACGGCGACGCTTACGGTCACCGTAATGACTTCGAGTCGTTACGGCCGTACGGCTATGACGGAGAACCCGACGATTATGCAATCTACGGGCGGTCGTTGAGCAAAAATCAGACGCAGGAAGCGAACGAGAAGCCAGAGATGGACGAGAAAATCAAGAAGCGATGATTGTGTAAATAATATTCTCGATCATTTCATCGATCGCCTTCTTCATTCTCAATGGAGATGCCAAAGATGCAACAGAGATACGTAGGTTTTTCTCCCTTTACGTCGATCGATATCGCATAATTAGATGGAGATGCAAATCTCGAATCTTTTGCGTCGATTAATTAACTTGAATGTAATTACATTCTTGTAATTTATTGTGAATTGCAAATATTAGTAACGCGCCACTTCCGAATTAATATAATGCGCATTGTCCTTTCTTTGGAGAAATATTTTATAATAATAACTCTTTATATTTAATCGACGATGATAATATCAAACTTGTGAATAATATAGTTTGTCGATTTTTTGACAAATAAATTATTTTAATCGTTACTTAAATTACTTTAATTATCCTATCGCAATTGAATAATGATTTTAATCGACTCACCGATTGTCGTGATTACAATGATGGAATAGAATAGAGCGCCAGCGAATGTCCATTGTATATTATTCTCTTCCTCGCTGCCATCCCATCCTTCCTTCGACATTTTTTTCAGGAGGCTGTCCTCGAACTCCTGCGGACAAACCCGCGTTATTCGCGAATGCAAACAATCCTTCGATAAATCGTATTCTATATAAAAGGAATGATATTTCGTGCGTGAAAGCTAAAAGTTGGTGTCTAAACATTCGATGAGAGGGAGGAGCAGGAAGAGAGAAAATATTACCTTGAGCTCCTTTAACGCCTTTTCCGTCCAATTGTCGCGAATCAACACGTCGAAATCCTTCGTGATTTCCCATAATTTTTCCGACACGTTTCCGCGTATGTTCTTGATGCTCTTCTTCACCTGCGAAAAGCGCAGAGTCGTGAAGAACGGGGTGCACTTTACTCTCGACGTCGCGACGCTCGGCGCGCGACGACGTCAGTCAATAATTCATTGATACGAGCGCGGAATATTCGATGCGAGGGAGGACTATTTGTCTGTAGTACCCTTTTTGCTCTCCCGGTGTCGAATTAATTTCTGTCCCGACGAACTTACTCTCGATCCGTGGCGGAATTACGTGACGTGAAATTCATTTATTACATCTCGTCCACTGAATTACTAATCCAGAAAGTAGTAAAAACTAATATAATGGAACGTAACGTGTGGGAAAATAAGAAATAATAAAAAATACTGTAAAAAAATATAGCGTGCAATCCGATTAATAAAATAATTAATTTGAAAATATGCAAGTAAATTTATCTGATTTCTAACATTGAAATGTATTACAGGGTTAAAAACAAGTTTAACAGTAAAAAATACATAAGAATATATTCTCTCCCAACAAAGAGATATCTTTATAAAAATTATTGTAGATGTACATTTATCAGATTTTTAGAAAAATATGATTCAAAAATAAATTTGACAGGAAAATAACAATAATTCATTTGTTATTAGAAATGATATCGGATTATATTCTTTCATACCTATAAATATTAAAACAAGAGAAATATTCTTAAAAAAAATAAATTTAGATATCGCTTTTTGATTTGTGAAGAGAAAAATTCGAATTTTTATATATTATAAATAGCTTCGAGAAATTAAGTCGAATGTGACTGAAAGGGAATACTACAAATTCGCTAATAGCGTCTCGCAATTTACCTCCTTCTCATGATTCGCCTCCAGTGCCTCGAAGGCGTATGCACCGATGAGACAATAAGCAACCACTAAGGATATGAGCGTCACGTGAGAGAAGACGCATCTGCTGAATTTCCACAACAACCGTAGAAATCTCATGCACCGCGACGGTTTCTCTATCTCCATCATCGGATCGAACACCTCTGTTCGCGCACGCGGCATTTTCTATTCTCTCCTTTTGGAATATCGCGGGTATCCTCTCATTAGATTCCCCATTTACATAGTGAGCGCGTCGTCCTCGATTGTAGCTTTGATTGCTCGATGATTAGATTCCCTCTGATCCCGCGCGACAGATTTATTGACATTAGATTTGTCAGACCCGCCGTACGTATTCTGATATACAAGATTTTTCTTCAAACGATATGTATTGTTTTTACAAAAAAGAGAATCGGAAATTTTTAGAAGATTTATATCATCTTGAAATATATTTGACATGAAAATAATCATGGGAAAATATGTATAAATTTGAGGAAATAAAAATTGGAATTTATCGGAAATTCCGACTCTCTCTTTCTTTCTCTAGTAAACATAATTCTACTTCTATAAAATATTGAGGAGACTGTTAAATAATTTTTCCAGCTCTCGCTGAAATTCCTGGATCGCGAATGTAATATCAAACAGCCATATCATAAATAAATAACCGCGCACGTGTTACAACTGCAATATCGGCTGATATGTTACGAACAATTAAATGAAAAAATATTACTTTCGTCACGTACCTATATTTTTTAGAGTAAATATGCAATATCGAGACTTCCATCAGATAGATTTGTTTTTAAGCTAACATATTTTATGTAGCGAGAGGAATAGAAATTGAATCTGCTCGAAAAAATCCGTGTTCTCTCGTGTCCCGCTTTTTCGTAATCACCATTATAGCAATTTTATACAAGTACAACGTTGGACGTATTCAGCAGAAATTCGAGATACAAAATATACGAGTTACTGTAAAATATTGAGTTTTTTGATATTATATATATAGAAAATAAGAGGTCAAAATTTTCGCAATTTTATTTAAAATTAACAACGAAGAAAGAATATATCAAAATTATATTATAAGACTTTATAATAATAATTAAAATATAACAATTAAAATAATAAATAAAAAAATAATAATTAAAATAATAAAAAATAATAAAAAAGATTAATTCTGTCATTTTCTTAACTACATCACTTTAGGTAAATATATATTATACTAATCGTATTATTATAAAAAGCATTGATAAACCATTTCTTATTAGCGGACGTATCTTGTATATATTGTTAATGAGAAATTATATTTGCTGTTATCGTCTCATTTTTATAAACAAAGCGTTTTACACGGATAAATCGTTTTTTGTTGGCAAGATGCAATCTTTTGTCATCGAAATCACGAGCAACGCTGATCGAGCAATCTGTTCTCGTATTCATTCGAGTCGCTCGTCTTCATTCTCGTCGGCGAATTCGATTTTATGCGATGCGCTTTCTTCAATGTCTATCCATTTCCTTCAGTCGTATCGACGGGCATGTATCGATCGATATTGAATTGCCTTTTGTGTCATACATATCGAATGACGCGCGTTATCATTGTTATCTTTAACGATTACTCCTTTTATTGGCAAATTTATTACGCGCGAATCACGATCACGAATTAATCTCTGAATCGCGGAACGAACAAAATTCGATCACTCATTAGAGATTTAACAATATTACATAATATTTATTATATCGCAATATTTATTATATCGTATTATATCGTATATTTATGACTGATATATTACGTCCGCATATGAAGAATACGTTTCAAAAATTTGTTCTCTTTTAAAAATATATCATGCTCATAATTATTTTAATCATTAAAACTCGCTACGTTTGTGAAAAAAATATCAGTCCCGAAATATTAAGAATAAACATGGGAGTTGAAAACTCACGTTAACGGTATTCTAATAATTATAAAAATATCAAACGCGCACACGCAAACACGAAGGGTTATTTAAAGTGGCACACGTGTTTAAAGCCAGCTGTGCGGTTTAATCTCAAGCAATGTAAAATCGAGAGAGATCGAGAGAAATTTACTTCTCTCTCGATCGCTTCCTAAACGTCGTTCGTATCCTCGGACGATCCCGAAGAACCTTCTAACACCGCGTAAACTTCGCGAACACCCGCATGCGACTTCCGAAACTCGTCGTAACGACACACGCGTGAGTCTCGCATATTCCTCGACACGAAACTAAGATAGAAACGCATTACATCCGCAAGGCGAGTTGTTCCAAATTTATCCCAGCGTCGAAATTTCGTTCGGAAAATGGGAAGGGAGGATCGAGAGAGAAAGAGAGACAGAGAGAGAAAGAGAGAAAAGGAGGCAACGTCTCCGTAAAGATTTGCGCTCCCGGCATCGATACCTTTAAGATTATCGCGCAGAGATTCAAGAGTTGAACAGCAAGTAAGTCAATTTTATTGCACTTTGGTTTCTCTTCGAATTTTATTCCATACGAAAGACCCGAATATTATGAACGACCATAGATATCATTTCTCCCCTCGGTTTTCTTTTTCTTTCGTTCGGATTATTCAGGTCTTTAGAATTCAAAACTCCTTTTTTTCTCGAAGCTACGCTAGAGCTTCTCTATTTACGTTGTTTAACTCCACAATTGGTGCAAGAGCGTTTTTAGCTCATGCGCTTTTCTCATTCGCCAAAATGCCCGTGCACGTTATTTACGATGCACGCTTACGTACTTAAACGTAAATTTGTATGCAATGGGCTTTACTCGGCAGTGAATAAGTAACGAGTAACAAGATGCGATGGACTATTTTCAAAACTCGCGACCCTTTGCACACGAGATTACATTGCATCGGTGCCCTATTTATGAATTAACTTTGCCAAGGAAAGCTTCTCGGAAGGAAGCAAGAATATTAGTCCTTTCAAGCTTATCATATAATATACTTTTGTTGGGATAAACTCTCTTTTTCATGGAATTAAGATTCAAGAATTTTTATCATCAATTTAGTACAACTCCCACGAACATCCTTCTAATTTCTCGAAAATATATTTACTAATTGTAAAAATATATTTGCAAATATATATACATATTTTTAATATATAATATATATGCTATTGTATGCATTATGATTGCGACGCTATATTAAATAAATCTCTGTAAAAAGTGCACTTGTTCATATTTGTTATCAGTTTCATTAAGATTAAGTAAAGATGAATTAAAACAAAGGCAAAACTTTTAAGAATATTATAAAGAAATGTTTTTTAGCAAGATTGCTTTTTTTTTAAATTTTATGATTAAAAAGTTCTAATATTTTAATATAATAAAATTGGAAGTTATATAAAAGGAGAAAAATTTGATAGCAAACTTTCCTTTAAACTTTCCTTAACATTTTACATTAGTTGCTCTCAGTTTTAATATGTATAAGAATAATTTTATTTATTAAAATATATATACGGATTGTTTTTTTTTCCAAGAGGTATTCGTATTTAAAAAAATATATAATATCTAAACCATACTAATATTTCATGAAATTAATCAAATATTCTCTTATATAAAAATTGTATTGATTTTAATAAAAATGCGGAATTATATTTAAATATCTTTGTTTTCTCTATCGTAAATTTTTAGAAATTAGAAATCTTTTTATCCGCCTCGGCACAATTGTGTTCGCAAGAATCTTGGATAAAAAATGCGATGCCTCGATGAGGATCTCGACGAATAACGCGATATCATTCGCATAAAGACGATCGCCGATGACACCGGCGCGAGTAGAAGTCCAGTAATTATCACGGCGGGGCGTGTATTAATTGGACCGTTACGGAGGTTAACATGAATAAACATGAGGCCATCGATCATGTAAATTCGCCCGTGGCGACGTGAACGGAACGGCATGCCATGAACGCGAAGCCGGTAACGGGAGGACGGCTTTTATTTTTAGCAGCGGTTATATTTACAGAGAGAAGACATATCGATGAAATTACACGGCCGTTTCGCGCGAATCATCGAAGATAATCGCCGAAAAATCGAATACGACAGTATTTTTGTGTCTGCGCGCGAGATCGATGCAATTTCGAGAGCGAAAGTTGATAAAGATTCTTTTTGCAGGATATTTTTGCGCGAATTGTGATGTTTCTTCGAAATGAAATATTTATGATTCGACTTACAAAGTGTGAAAATTAAAATTTTCTGCTTGAATTAAAATTTTCCGTTTGAATAGGGGAAGAATAAAAAGATCGACTGGCGATACTTTCGGAAGGCTATTTGTCGATTGATTATCTCCAGTCACCTGGTTTATCGGTGTCTACAATTTTATTGGAGAAAAGAGATTAACTACTGCAATATTATCAGTCGGCAAAGGGGTTTCAATTGGCCTCAGGAGATTGATCGTCTTATAATGATGCGAAATATAAATGAAACTTCAGGATAAAAATATTATTAATAATATTAATATTATATAATAATAATAATATTGAATTTATTAAAGATAATAATAAGATATTAATAGCTTTTTAAAAATATTTTCCTAATATGAAGAATATATAAAAGTATTAATTATAAGTATTATAAGTATTATTATAAATATATAAGTTATAAGTATATAAGTTATAAGTATATAAGTTATAAGTATATAAGTTATAAGTTATAAGTTATAAGTATTATTATAAATATATAAAAAAAGAATTATGAAAAAATAAATATAGTTAACAATTAAGAAATAATTAATAAATAGAGTATTAAAATTAATCTATAAAACCGTATTGTTTAATAACTTACGTGATATTCTCTTAATTTATGCTCAAGAAGCAATTGATGGACTGTTTTTTTATTTCAAAAATTGACTTATATGATTTTATTTTCGCAAAATTTCATGCTGTGCATCAAGAATTGTCCAAGTATTTATTTCTGAAGATGTTTAAGTGAATAAAGGAAACGATCAATGGGAAACTGTCGAAATAGAGTGCATGCTTCGGATCTCTCTCTTTCTCCGATGCCGTGTATCATCGAGTGAGATACACCGTCCGGTTGACAGGCGCTCATATTGCAATCGCTATCGATTATCTCGATGCATGTCGAGCGGCGTGCCGACTCATCACGCACTGATAACACCTGACAATTTGAACACGCACCCGATAAGTCAACAGACGTCGTAGGATGACACTAACGCCGATCGCGTCGAGATCACGTCCCAAAACTGTACGCGTTATTGACATCGCGATACAAACTACGATTTCACGCAAGACCAACTTAGACGTATCTCGAAAATTATGAATTTCGAACAAAGATTTCTTTTATAATTCTTTAAATCGATTCAAACATTGTCTATTTCTTGCAATCTCGTAGTCTTATCTTATCGCTTTCTGATGCGACAGTAAAAAAATAAGAAGCAAGATTAGATATCATCTTTTTATAATTGTTGAAATTTGCTCATTTTTCAATTTCTAATAAGGCTTTGGGATCAATGATTAGGTTGCTACAATAATACACGAACTACGAAAAAGATCCTGATCATGTGTAATCATTTATAGGATGCTTATAGAGATACAAGAAACGCGTGCTTTCTTTTTGAATTCATTTATCATCCTTCATATTTCGCAGATATATACAAAGAATTATTACAATGAGTGATTTTCGTGTAAAACAACGCATAGTATTAATCACGCGAAAAAATCAGTCTGATTTTCTCAACATTTAAAGAATAGTTCTCCTTTTTGACACAAATCAATTAATTCGCTTAAATTTTATGTCAATGTATAGTTGTACTCGACAACTAGTTAACATTAACTGAAAGCGTTCGCTTGTATATATATGTGAAATTATATTATCACACCATATATTATGTCTAATCCTCATATTAGAGAAAAAATGAAAGATCGTGTTCACAACTAAATTATCGAAACGTATGTCAATTGAAAGGCACCATTTCACCTATTTTTCGCTCGGAAAAGGTGACGTACGCATTCACTTCAGAAAGAATACGATATGATTTTATTTTCGCATGTAGACTAATCGTATCTCATGCACACTGTCTCTTATAATTTTTATTGACTTATCTACAATGGTCCCCTTTATATCAATAGATGTCTCATGGTGCAACATGAATCGCCTTCTTGCTTTTACAAGCGACACTTTACGCATCGAGTTGTAAAATGCGGTCGGTTATCATCGCGCAGAAAGCGATCGAGGTTTACCATAAGAAAAGGAAGAAGTTTTCCAAAATCGCGAAGCGGTAAAGATCGATATATATTTGAAATATTTAGAAAATGCACAAATTATTAACATTTCAAACAAACATCAAGATGCGCTTTCTAAATATTAAAAGATAGAAAAAACTCTTCAAAAGCATCGAACCATGCCGCAAAATAAAATTTTGCAATAACATACATATAATTATATGTAATTAGCGATCATTGTTTTTTATATGTGATATAGCTTTTTGTTCTTCCTGTATTGTATCCTCTATTTCTCTCTTTATTTTGTTCACGCTTATCACTACAACTTATATCAGGCCTATGATAATACAATTCGGGCAGTTTCCGGTTTCTATCTACGAAAAACGGATCGCTTCACGGTTGCGGAAGACTCATTAACAGTAGTCTTAATTAATAACGAGTGTTTACATCTCACAGCGTTTCAGTCATCGGAACGGTATGACTATATACTTCTCAACAATCATTCCCAATAATCTCCGATAATTACAGTTTAAAAAAAAGAAAAAAGATATATATATGTGTTATCATACCATATTTGCATTAATATATAATAAAAGAAAAGATAAAAGAAAAATCAACAAATCAATATTTGATCATACTTGCCGATGTAACATAATAAAACGTATTTTTTTATTTTTACATATCTCTCATATTTAATATACATTTTTATGCTCATTAAAGAGGGTATAATTTTTCAAGTCCACATTCTTTGATATCAATTCTAAAGTTACGCGCAACCACATACATATGTATTCACCGATCCGTTACAGCTATGGCTATCGATCGAATCTTCGCAGCTTCGTATTACATATTGAGCATATATAAGAAGGAGACTTATATAGGAGTTATTTACAACAGGAAAAAGGAATACTGTGCAGTTTTACTCACGAATGTAATCGGCTCGTCGCGTGGAGCAAAAATTTGCTCGATACAAATCGAGCCAAAATTACATTCAGTCTGGAGATAACTTTGCTGGTTTAACAGGATACCAGAAAACTACCATGAAACTCAAGCATAAAATCGAGTCTTCTGCACTCGCTTATTTATATAATATTTATATATTTGCCGAAATACGTATTCATCTTTAGTTTTTAGATAGATTCGTCAAGTTTAACAAAAAGCTAGAACTCAATTTCGACGCAAACTTTACGTTTATCTTGCAGACGCGAGAACGCGTGGTATTTTTTTCAGCCAACGTAACAAGTTCCAATTCGAACGAATGATCATCGCTCCAATCTCGATGCCGTTTTCTATATCCTTTAATAAGGTTCGCATATCTTGACGCTCCGGACATATGGAGATATGCACACTCTTGGCACTGTCAGGCGAAATTCTTCTCACACACGTACATGAACGATCGAGACGCGATATTACGTGCTGTCGCTAGAAACGTGTTCGCTTTAACGATTACACCGATCTCGATTATCTTCTCAATTAAATCTCCGCGATCAAGCCTCACTGGCAATTACCTCTCGCTCTGATTAATTTCTTCGCCTCGTTCCGCGCAGCACGAGCCAGTCGTCCCTTTCGCGGAGACCGATCAAAACTTCACAGGAAAGTGAAAGAAAAAAGAAAAGGAGAGATCGATCTCCGACCGCTATCTCGAACCGAAGAAGCCGAGGGTCTTCAGCGTGTCGGTGACCCTGCCGATCAGTTTGTCCCTATAACGCCATATCGTCGTATCGATCACGCTATTCTCCCGATACTCCACGCAGGTCTTCTTCAACGATCGCACGCAATCGGCGCGATAGTGCTGTAGCTGCGCGTCCTCGGTCTCGATGGGGTAGCTGGTGCAACCGGCGCCCAGACACGCCAGCGGGAAGTGGTTGTGCAAGGTGACCACCCTTTCCGGATTGTGGAAGCACTTGATGTATTGGTTCGGCTTGGTGAAGTTCTTCGAGCGGTACACGTGTTGTAGCATATGCATGTACCTGCGAGGAGGATTCTCGTATCAGGGATACGCGATTCTCGCGGACTCTGAACTTTCCTTGGAAAAGGTTAATAAAGAATGCACCAGATCGATTATGAAAGGGAAGGAGAGAGAACGATCTGGCTCCAATCAAACCCAATTATGAATTTGGAATAGCGAAATTAATTTCCTCGTAGCAAAACTCTGACGGCAGCAATGTTCTTTCGACACTCTTACCATTACGAGATTTCTTGGAAAATATTTTAGTAGAAAATATATAACGGGATTAATTACAGAGAGAAAAAAGATTTCACTCTCCGTAGATTCTCTATATAAATTTAAAGCTGTTTTTCTCTATATAAATTTAAAGTTGTTTTTCTCGAAGCGAAATTCTGATGACCTCAATTTTTTAACTAGCAAAGTTGATTATTTCAGTGACTTTAATATCAATATAAAAATTTAAAAACATAATTTTCCTTAAAAGTCAATAATTAACATCAACTGCAAAAAATGTGTGGAAAGAGCAAAGGAGAAAATGTGGTATGAAAATTGACGTATTATTTTGTTTAAGAATTTCTAGCTGAAATTTTAAACATATTTATTAGATATTTACTTAAAACTATTCCCTATCGAATTATATTATAGTTTTAATATTGTTTTGAATATTTTTTCATCAAGCAATAATTGAAAACTGTAAGATATTGATTCTTTCAAAGCCGATACATATTCACATACTTTAAAAGCCACAGAAATATAATAAAAATATAAAATGCAGTTTGCATTTTTGCAATAAATCATTAAAATAAAATAACTTTTTGTATTTATATATAAAAATAGATATTTTTTCAAATATTTTTTTTATATTTTTTAAATTAAAATATGCGTGATATTTATAAAAAACGAATGTAAGCAAATCAAATAATATTTATCAATTTTTTGAATTAACATTTTTCAAAATAAAACGTTAAAATGTGTCGATGTTGATGCAAAAGATGGAATATTTTAATTTAATATATATAAATAAAAATAAAACAGAGATTTCAGTAAATTATGTTAAATAATTAATGTAATATGTAAAATAACTATCAAAGATGCTCACTATTTGGATTTAAAATGTAATTCACCAAAAATCACGAAAAAACTTTCGAATTACGAAAACTCAATATTCGATGAGCTAATTTAGCATATATTCTAAATAAACTACTAATTATAATAAAACACCTATCACTTTTAAAAAACATAAGAACCGTCAATAAATTAACCGAGTTCGATTTAGCTCTGATGAAATACAACACGAAAAAGAGAAATACATTTAATACATTTTTTTCTAATAATATAAAAATGTATTTATATAGAAATTATTGCACGTTTTTTCTCGAGAAATAAACTCTTATTCGGCATCTATCGTGAACTTTCTCTATTTTTTCTTCGCGACTGCACGAATCTTCATGTTCACCGAAAGAAGAGAACCGTGACACCGATAACCGACGTGCAAGCCATCCACCTTCGCGTTCCCTTCACGGGCGGCGGAACCGCGCGCGCGGCGTGAAAGTAGAAACCTTATACTCACTTGGGTATGTCCTTGAAGTAACCGTGAGAGTGCAGTAGGTCGTCGAGGAAGTAGACGTTCCTCACGTTGTACGAAGCGCGGGTCTCGTTCCGTATCTGCAGGGCCTTGGGCATCACTCGGCGCATCAGTTCCTGCCAGGTCGCGTCCTTCACGGGCATGATGACCTCGTCGACGTCCAGCAGGGCGATATACTCGTACTCGTACATGTGCTTGTAGAGACAATCGTTGTACGGTATCAGCTCGTTTTGTCGCTTATGATTGGTCTTCTTCGTGAGATACATATGCTGGAAGGCGGGCACGTTCGGCTGTCCCCCTGGCAAGGTTAACGGGGTCACGTGTACCATATCAAGTCGCTGATAGTGCTGTAGCACCTTGGTCACGTTCGGATGCACCTGCAGCTCGTAGAAGTAAATCTTGTCGGCGCCCAGCAGACTGATGAGCTCGATCCACTCGACCAGCCGTACCGACAAGTCCTCGTGCAAAAAGTCCAAGCCCTTCACGCACACAGCAAAGCCCTTCTTGCGCTCGGGCTTGTTGTAGATCACCCGGAGATGATTGGTAGCTGTGTCACAACGCTTCTCGACTACGGAGACAGACGAGGGCGGTTTGCCGGATGCCTGCGGCGGTACCCTGCACGCTATCACATACGGTTGATAAATGCCCTGTTTGTAATTGCCCCACTTGGGATACCAGATATACTTGTACTCGAGAGTTTCAACAATCTTGGGCTCGCTCTCGCCATCGTACCACAGCTGACAGTAAGTCTTGACAGTCGGCTCGATACGGTCAATCATACCAACGATCCTCACCGCTGGCCCGATCTTGGACAATCGCCGATTATCGTAGAAGGCGCCAAAGAACTGGAACGTGCCGTTACTGGTTCGTAACGTCTGCCAGTAGAAATTGTTGAACTCGAGATCGTAGATTTGCGGATATCGCGCGCAGCTGTCGTTGGCCCGCTTTGTCAGTTTGCTGTTTCTGAGCCAGTCGCTCAGCGGTAGGCTAGGTATCTTCTCAGCGATCTCCTCGATCAGCTGCTGCTCGGACTTGACAGGTCGTTTATCCAGCAACGGTTCCAGCTCAAGTGGGTTTCTCGTTGACGCTTCCAAACGGTTTCTCAGAGTCGTCAGAGTGGTTAACAAGGCACCGCCCGAATTGGAGAGATCACCGCCTAGCGACGACCTCTGCAAGAGGTATCGGGACAAGCCCAGGTTCGCCGAGACAATCCCACCCGCGCCACGTTCACCGCCGGTGCCGTCGACCTCTGCCAGGTTGCCGCCAACACTCTCCTCGGCCGTGGGACCGCCATCTTGGCGCAGCGCCCTGTTCTCCAGGTGGCGAAACTGCACTGCCGCGATCATCAACAAGCCCCAGGCGAACACGAGGACGAAGGCGCGTCTCGCGCATCTCGAAGAGCCGCCACCACAGCTCTGCATCGTCGTCATCCCGCTGATTTTCCCTTACTTGTCTATGAATCACTGAAACTCCGTCCTCCCTTCTCGTTTAACTGCCTTCTCCTCGCTCTGACGATCGTGTCTGCAACAACGAGATTTCGTTGGTTGAAGTGTAAAGGAATTGAATGATATCAGCAATTTATATAAATCATAAAATATCACAAGAAGATGCGATCTACTTGAACTGGTGAAATATTTATTTCACTTTTATCTCGTGATAGATACCGAAAAGTTTAATGCGAATTATCTCAATGCCGCTCGAAACTTCAAAGTTTGGATTCATGTACTGTGTCTCACCATGCGAATAATTAAAAAATTACATCATGTAATGGATTTTTTTAGATTATATATATAAACTAATTAATCTTAACTAAATGTTTTATATGAAATTCTTTTTTATTATTATTAAATCATCGCGACAGTTTTTCGACTGCAATCTTGAAGGATCATTATTTTCCGAGAAATGTAGTAGGGCGACTGAGAGATTTGTTCACAAATTTATCTAGGCAAAATAATCCGCGATACATTCGCCGATTAGAATTTGGGACAGGAGACGAGATAACGTCCTTAACTGTATAAGGACACCCGTCACCGGTAGCCAATGCTCGACTATCATCAGCAAAGCAAGAGACCCTGTCGAGCGAAACTCCATTGGAGCTGGATCAGCCAAGCATCGAGAGAACGAAAGAGAAAGAGAGAGACAGAATGAGAGAGAAAGAGAGACAGAGAAAAAACGAGAGAGAGAAAGCGATACCAGTTCGGAGATACGTGGAACCGGTTATGCTGATGGCAAACTGTTTTTCATCTTTTGCACCTCGCTCCATCTAACCTCCTCCCTTCCTGATCACCTCGGCAGGCCTCCTGTCTTCCTCTTCCCTCCCTTTCCTCGACCTAAGCGATGATGGTGACTCTCAGGATTAGACTCGACCGCGACCTAGGATTTTCCATAGTCTTTGCCAGACACGTTTCACGATTTGTCGGGTGTGTTACTTTGGGAGAAAATTTTATTTTTCATAAAATGAAAGTTGTTTCATTTTATTGCATATCTATATGTTAATTTAAATTCTGTCGGCAAATAATAAAAATAAAATGAAAAAAGAGCATAAAAATTAATTTTTTTTCTTTCATAATGTACATGGAGAAAATATTTTATAGCTTAAATTAAATGAAACATGTTTTTTTTTACATTTTGTGAAACTGGAATATAACAACATTAAAATATTTACTATTAAAATTGTAAATTTAATAATTATGCATTTATTTTGTGCATTAAAATATTTGACTAATTACAAAATAATTTTTTAAAAATATAATATATAATATAACAATAATGTGGATTCTTTTTTTATTATAGACATTTGTATAGTCTTCATAATTGCAAAAATTATTTTGTAATTTTCAACTGTTTTTCAACTTTACAATATTTTTTGCAAATATAGAGAAAGGCAAAGATAAGAACATTAGATAAATAGATTAGAAAAACTGAAATAAATGCATTAAAGATAAATTTCTAAATAAATTTTTCTAAATCAAAATTTCTCGTAATTTTTTACTCTCCCTCTTTAAATTAAATTATTTATTTATTTCGAAATGTAAAGTTTTTATATATCGATTTTATTTAAATATGATGATAATGCATATTCAGGCGTGCACTGACACTTGATTATTAGAGACTATTAATTATTAAAAAGAGAGAGTTTATATCTAATAGAGATCTTACAGCATATATCTAATTAAAGCACACAGGAACATCATTATTAATCCTTTCGAATTTTCGTAACTTGAGAATATGTACATACACATATATATATTGTTAAACGAAGAGATGGGAGAAAATATATTTTGCGAGATAACGTAACACACACGTCGCGAAGCGTTCCATTTATTCGCACAATATCGTAAGCGTAATTGCGCCGGGCGATTAAATTCCGAAAATGTCTAATCTCCACATTTGTGCCACTTTCTTACGCGACTCTCACACGATCCGGTCCCCGTATTAAGTTAAGCGATCGGAAGGATCGCTAATTAGCGTGGATCTGCTTAATCCACATACGCCGAATAATCTGATAGTAGACTGTAGCCGTGCAATTGCATCGCAAAAGTGCGGCGCGCAATGCCGTTTAATTCAGACCCCGTTCTTATCGTTCCGTTAATTAGCAATCCCGGCGTAACGACGGGTCGACCGAAACGCAAATTGCGCGGAAAGAACACGCTCATATCTTTCACAATACAACCCTTTCATTTACTTGTGAGTTTATGTTTATTAGAACAAAATTTTTTTCTAATTTCTCTCTTTCTTTCTCTCTCTCGCTTTTATGAAATGTTTCTCCTGCGAACGCGTTTGAATTTCCTAAAAATTTATAATTTTATCTATTTTAAATAGATTAAGGATTTTTAAGATAAATTTTCTTATTAATTGCGTTTTTAATTTATTGTATTTTTATATCTCTTAAATTGTATGTGTATCTTCTTTGTCGCGTCATCAAATTAAAATAATATAAAAAATAAATATATATATTATAATATATAAATATATATATTAAACAATAAATATATTATGCGTTTGCATATATTTCCATATATTTATTTGCATACATCCATTTATCATATAAATAAATAATATTTATTGTTGCATTTATTATGCATGTATTTGATGATGATATGAATTATTGTTAAAATTACATGTTTTAAATATTATAAATCCAGAGAAATGCTCATAGTTCGAAATAATGAGTTGATGTTTTAGATCGATTAATATTATTGCGAATCCGAAGATGATTTGGAACTCAGACAGAGATTAATACTTCGGACAGACATTTATTTAAGATCAACGTTGAGATTCACGAGCCGATATTACGAAAGACATGACCAATGGTAACGAGAGTGAGAGAAAAGAGATTAATAAGAAGCCGAAAATGTGACTATGCAGAATTGGATTCGTTTCTTCCTGATACTTCTATTTTACGAAAAGAATGAACAAATATCGCTTCGTCACAGCCAATTTTGATCGATGGCAATTTTTCGATAGGATACTAACTCCTTTATCTTAATAATATCTCCCTATCATTAGCAAGAATCTTTACATTTTGAAAAGAGAAATAAAATAAAAAGAGAAATGACATTTTTCGCGATAAATTCAAAGATACCAGTCGATAATCGATATTAATTATGATAATCAATTCTAGTATTGAATATTGAAACTGAGAAAAATCCTGTTAAATGATTTATATGTGACATTTAAATTAATTTAACTATTTTATGAGATTAGAAAAAGAAATTAACATATTTAATGATCACTACGAGATCGCTTAAATAATTGATTTTGAGAGAATGCAAAATACGCGAAGCTTGTTAGAAATTTATATTCTTACCACGCGTTCTGTGTTAGACGTGAGACCTTGTTACCGAGACGTCAAACATGAAAATGTCGTATGTAAACACGAAATTAGACTTAATATAAACTCAGTGTCTCGCCAAAGGCACGTATAACAAAACAATAACATTGCGAGATAGACGCTTTCTTTTACTGGAAAAATAGATTCTCTCTTTCTCTCTTTTTCATTTTTAATTAATTTCATATACATATATTCTTTAAGTAAAACCATTTTTTATGTAAAAAATAATAATGTTAAGAAAATACATACTATATAGACTAATATAGAAATTCTATAAATGCATTTTATATTAAAAAAATATAGATGTTATCGGATTCAAGGAATTCAAACGTCGAGTCAATGACGCGACACATTTATACTAAGTGCGGAAAATAAATGTTTATGTCTTCTCTATCGAATCAACCTCACTTCACGAACGCGTGCTACGAACTCGAGAAATCACCGATGTAAGATGTTATTAGAAAATTAATTTGTTCGTATTTAATCGATACAATCGCGTCGCTGAATACATAAATATGCATCTTTGTCGCGATCGTATAATTGCATTTCAAGGCTCGGGGCTGAAAGACATGCCAATCTCTCGCCTTTCTTGCAAAAAAAAATCCAACAGCTGCGCTTATTTCGCGCGTGTAAGCGCCTTTGCACAATAAAATCCCTCCCGCGTCGATATACCTCTATCCGCTTACGTCAGTCGACGATAAATTATTCGTCAATGTTGCGAGATACAGCAGCTGAGTCACAGCCGATGATGATAATACCAGCCGGATTCTATGGGCAGAGAAAGAAAAATCGATTCTCGATGTTCGAATCATTCAGATTTTAATTACTCTCGAAATCTTTGCGATATTCCGAATGTAAAGAAAAGATATCAAGACTAACGTAAATTATTCGATATTAAACACTGCACTTGAGCTCGATTCACTTGATTAAGTCGCACATTGTAAGCCAATAAACGTGGTTTATGGCCCTCGTTTATATCCTGAGATTGTTTATCCTTTTTCGATCTCTTTTATCATGATTTTTAATATATTTCTCTATTTTTCAGTGGATTTTGCGAATCAGTTTCTCAAACTTTATTTTTCACTCATTTTACAAATGAAAGATTATTTGCTTAAAAAAATTTTAGGCGATATTATCGAAATTAATCTAGCATGAAGCAAATCTCTTATGAATATCTATGGACGTTAATTTTTATTTTGGATTTTTCGTCACGGAAAACGGAATGGCGACTTTCGATTCCTTCGATACCTTCCCTCTATCGTTCGCTTGTATCACATATAATAATGTCGCGATAAACGCTAATCTCAGTATTAAAGGCTCATCTCGCGAGCGCAAGTTGCATCTGCATTCCGCGTCTTACGTAACATCGCTGCGCCTCCGTAATTTCTTTTTTCGTCGCCAGCCACGCTAGAGAAAGATGTTATTCAAAGAGGAGCGTTAAAGAAGCTTATTCAGCGTGGACGAAAGAGAGAGATCTTGTCGGTATATTATTTAAATTGACAGTAACTACTGCTGATGATGATGTGGAGCTTTAGAATTTCACATGTATCGAGGCAACTCAATAATAGCCTACGACATACTTTCGACGAACTCGTATACTTCGATACTCACTTAGGCGGATGAAAGTGATCTAAAGTATTACAAGCATTGACAACTACTTGCCGCGAGAATAATAAAAAATTTCTTA